TTAACATCAATGTACACTCACCGGCCACTTTATTAGGTACACCTGTCCAACTGCTCGTTAACACTTAATTTCTAATCAGCCAATCACATGGCGGCAACTTAGTGCATTTAGGCATGTAGACATGGTCAAGACAATCTCCTGCAGTTCAAACCGAGCATCAGTATGGGGAAGAAAGGTGATTTGAGTGACTTTGAACGTGGCATGGTTGTTGGTGCCAGAAGGGCTGGTCTGAGTATTTCAGAAACTGCTGATCTACTGGGATTTTCACGCACAACCATCTCTAGGGTTTACAGAGAATGGTCCGAAAAAGAAAAAATATCCAGTGAGCGGCAGTTCTGTGGGCGGAAATGCCTTGTTGATGCCAGAGGTCAGAGGAGAATGGCCAGACTGGTTCGAGCTGATAGAAAGGCAACAGTGACTCAAATAACCACCCGTTACAACCAAGGTAGGCAGAAGAGCATCTCTGAACGCACAGTACGTCGAACTTTGAGGCAGATGGGCTACAGCAGCAGAAGACCACACCGGGTGCCACTCCTTTCAGCTAAGAACAGGAAACTGAGGCTACAATTTGCACAAGCTCATCGAAATTGGACAGTAGAAGATTGGAAAAACGTTGCCTGGTCTGATGAGTCTCGATTTCTGCTGCGACATTCGGATGGTAGGGTCAGAATTTGGCGTCAACAACATGAAAGCATGGATCCATCCTGCCTTGTATCAATGGTTCAGGCTGGTGGTGGTGGTGTCATGGTGTGGGGAATATTTCCTTGGCACTCTTTGGGCCCCTTGGTACCAATTGAGCATCGTTGCAACGCCACAGCCTACCTGAGTATTGTTGCTGACCATGTCCATCCCTTTATGACCACAATGTACCCAACTTCTGATGGCTACTTTCAGCAGGATAATGCGCCATGTCATAAAGCTGGAATCATCTTAGACTGGTTTCTTGAACATGACAATGAGTTCACTGTACTCAAATGGCCTCCACAGTCACCAGATCTCAATCCAATAGAGCATCTTTGGGATGTGGTGGAACGGGAGATTCGCATCATGGATGTGCAGCCAACAAATCTGCGGCAACTGTGTGATGCCATCATGTCAATATGGACCAAGCTCTCTGAGGAATGCTTCCAGCACCTTGTTGAATCTATGCCACGAAGAATTGAGGCAGTTCTGAAGGCAAAAGGGGGTCCAACCCGTTACTAGCATGGTGTACCTAATAAAGTGGCTGGTGAGTGTATGTCTAAAGGTAAATGGAGTAAAATGGTGCATTTCCATGAAAGCAACATCTGATCATGGAGTAAATACATCCCAAAATACATAAAACTCATGCTGGATTTAAAAAAAAAAAGGCATTGTGAACAAAAACTTGAAGTTACTCCCAACTGTTCGACCTGTAATGGCCTTGCTTCCAAACGTTTGGCCTCTAGTGTAAATGCTGCTTTAAACATTTTTTTTTCATTTTGCCATTGTTATCATAAAATTGTTTTCTAATAAATTAGAAAAGCTATACATGTTTCTTTACCAACCACATCAGCAAAGACTGAACACCTTTTGTCACTACAGAGTCAGCAGTCGTAATGGTGCACAAAAGATGACACATAAGAACAATAATTTATTAGAAGAATAATATCTTGGTCAGATGTACATGTTGTGGGGCTGTTATGGTGTACAAATTCCACACTCATGGCGGCTGGTGAGAAAAATAGTAGGTGGGGCAGAAAGTTTGGAGACCAAACCCCTGTAGGGGGGTCCGCCGGGAGATTTTTTTTTTTTTGGCTCTCACATGTAAATTCAGCATTCTGGTGCATTCTGAGAAAATAATTAGGGAAACATACAATCTTTGAGAAGGGCCCCCAGATCCTGAGGTTTTCTTAGGTGTTGAGGTTTACAAAAGGTTGGTATCTCAGCCTCTGTGGCAAATAGAAACAAAATTCAAAAAATATTTGAGAGCTTTCACATGTGGCTTTCAAGATAACTATCTTTTATTTTTCTGAAACTTCATCACAGTTTTGAAAACTTTGAACAAACAAACTCAAATGAAATTAAGCAGCTGTATAAATAAAAGTGAAGACTCTTCACTGGCGAATAACAAACTGTTTGCTTTCTGTAAAACAAGTGGAAGTCATGATAAAGTGTCCTTTCAACACAAATATAAATATAAAAAATTAAGTGTTGAAAGGGTATACAGCTGCCCTAGTATAGTGCCAGTGCAAGACCAGCACTAAAAACAAATAAATAAATAAGTGGCTGACAGTGTGTTCATGTCTGTGCTCACCCAAAGTCATGCAACACTCACAGAAATTGCCAATAGTGTGAGCCAAAGACTTCAATATGAAGAGGTTGTTCACACTGCTGGACACTTCTCCCCCAAAGCTGCTCTCTGCCTCCATCATTGTTTACTTTCCTCACGAAGCACATCGCAAGATCCGAGCATGAATCCGACCACTTTATTCGCCTATCAGAGGCAGACGGGAATGATGATTTGATTTGCCATGACTCCAGAAATGATTAAAAAACTACAGAATGTCACAAAATGATGTTTCCGTGCTCCTAACTTAAAGGGTAGAAATGCTCAGTGGTGCCACCGGCTTGGAAGGTTGAAATGCGTTCACGCTTCTCCTGGATTGAAGGGTTGAAATACCTACATGCAGCCGGCTTTCCGAGTAGGAATGTGCAGCTGCGCTCCTGGCTTGAAAGGTTGAAATGTATACATGCTGTACCAGTTTAAATAGGTTAAAAAAGTTGCGGAATGAACATTGTCTGTTAGCTTTCTTTTTAGTCTGGCTTTTATGTAGTGTCTCACATTTGCTGTTCCACATCCTGTCAGCCATGACTTGCGCTCGAACCAACTCCTGCAAAAACTTCCAGCTGTAGGATTTATTTTTCTCCTTGGTCTTGGTTAAGTTCACCATTACCGTAACTATTGCGCTAGCTTATTTGGGTGTGCGAACAGGCTCCTCTTCCTCCTCGACCTGCCCCTAAAAATCTTGCGACACTTTTAGCCACATGAGCAATATTTTCAACGCCCCAAGACCATACATTTCTGCTATGTTGATTAGCTAAATATTTATTAATTTTACCTGGCAACTGTACACAACTGGTTATTTCGTTGCAGTGCTGGGGTGATCTGACCAGCGCCCCGTGAAAGAATCTATACGAGTCTGTCAGCAGAAAGTCAATGGTAAATAAATAATAGCAGGTGGCAAATGTAGTTTAAATGATTAGTATTGCAAGTGGCTCCACAATAGTTGGTAAAAACATCTTTATTGTAAAAATCTATTACTAGAAACATTTTTTCCTCTCATTTTTCAGGGAGGGCGACGCCCCAGCACCCCCTATGGGCCAGCCGCCACTGCTCTGGACTTTCTGTTATCCAGCTTGCAGTACCTGGAATGACAGAGAAGGAAAGTGTGGAATAAAGATATTAGTCTGTCTAAAATATCTCTTCTACTTATTATATCTGTAAACTTTCCAAGCTGCTTTATCAGCCAACAACACCACTATATGCAGGCTTTTTCTAAACAACAATGGTGCTTACAACTAAATTCAGATATAGTAAAGATAAATACTTTAGATAATTAGGATTGGGGCCCAGACAATGTGAAACTAAATAGCATCGGTGCTACTGTAGATGCCAACAGACTACCAGCAAACACAATGTTTGCACGACTTCTATAACTAGAATAAAGTGACATAGTCCAGGACCCGAGCTAAACAGTTTAGCAGTGCTACAACACGCAGCAGGTCCCGTTTGACAAGAAACACTTTTGTTACAGACACTTTGCTTACTTTGTTGTAACAGGGCCCAGTCAACATAAATGTAAATAGCACCAGTGCTAATGTAGCAGTATGCTAACAGGCTACCTTCAAACACAATGCTTTCAGCTCCCTTGTGACTAAAATAAGACACATTACAGGACACAAGGTAAAATTAACTTAGCGGTTTACCTGTCCAGCAGAAAGGTTACAGGGTCTGTAAGAGCTTGAAGCATTCCCCATTGTTCATGCTTCACTGGTGTGGACCCGGCTTTTTTATCTCTTGTCGAAGTGGTCTACCTCCTTTTTAAGCGCCTGTTGTTCCACCAGAGTCTCCAGTACTTTGTTTTTTTGCTTGTGTTGGCAGTTATGGCCAAAGGAGGATTCAGATAATTTTCCGTACTTTCTGGCTGGTTTTTACTGTCCGATATTGTAGCACACTAACTTTGTTTGGGCTCATGAATGTTATTCGTCACAACCAATCAGCACTAAGGGGCAGAGTCCGCATCACAACCAATCAGATTTGGGGAGGTGGAGAATTGCTTTGTTTACAGTCAATTTGAGAGTGACGCTCAAAATTTTTAGAATGTTGACTACACAGACATAACAGAACACAGTGATACCATGATATTCCCAATTGTCATCAATAATTAATAGCTATGGATTGATATTAAAATCTGTTTTGTATATACAGCACAAAAAAAGTCCCTTCTTTGAAAGATTTCTGCCTACCCCACCTTAAAGCATTTGTTTGAACAGAAAAATCTGAAAATCAAGATCGTTAAATGCTTCTTTGAATCAATTTGATACCCAAATGTAGACACAGAAATTCTCTTTATTGTATGGAACTGTGCAGTATAAAATCTTAATTTTAAGACAATTATTTTACTTCTACATTTAATTCACTGACAGAAAGCTGTGGAATCACTTCTCTTACAATGAAATATAAAATCAAAGCCTTCCGCACAAGATACCAATGACATTTATTTACCAATGACACAAACTGTTTTTGTCACTAGTCATGATCCTACATCAAAGGTAGCACTTAGTCAAAACTATATCTATATCTCTATATCATTTAGGTTTATCATTTTTGTTGTCAATGTCAGAATAAAAGAGACTGATGCCAAAATGGACATGATAGACTTTTTTACTGATGGTGAGACAGCTGCTGATCATTTTTCCTGTCATTTTATATTGTAAACTCACTCTTTAATTCCAGATATTGAACTAAGTCTAGACAACTACACAGTGTCTTTGTCTCTATAACAGACAACATGCTTAAATGTGTTTCTTATTTTTGAAAGCTGCAGTCCATACATTACAGGATTCAGGATTGGCTGTATGAGGAGGAAATAAAGTGACAGAACAATGCGTAGTGCAGTGGGCATACTGGCTGTATCAAACCGAGCCTGAAGTATTTCAAACATACAGCCAAAAGAAAAGTTCATGAGGGAAGCCAGATGAGGTGCACAGGTAACCACAGCTTTTTTTCTGGTCTGTATGGATCCAGAAAAACAAACCTGGAGTATTTTTCCGTACGAGTAAAGGATTGGAAGCAGAGGAACAACAATGGTGAGAACTGAGCCAAATATTCCATAAATGTTATTCACTTTTGTGTCAGAGCAGGCTAACTTAACAATAAGGTAGTTATGACAGTACAAACTGTGGATAATGTTTCCACAAAGTGGCAAGGTGACGCTTAAGCATAAGGTTATTAAGAATTTGATAAAGGAGTAAAGCCATATTACAGCTATGAGAAGTACTGCTCTATTTAATGACATATGTGTGTTATACTGGAGAGGGTGACAGATAGCGAGATATCTGTCATAAGACATTAAAGCTAAGTTACAAAACTCTATCTGGCCATATGTGTACAAACAAAAAATCTGCAAATAACAGATGGGAGCAGCAACTGTGTGGATGTCAGAGAGAAGCTGAACCAGGAGGAATGGAAACAGCCCTGTACCACCATACAGCTCATTAACAAACAGACTGCAGAGGAATATGTACATAGGTTCATGAAGGTTTCTGTGCATACAGATAACCACAATGAGAGACATGTTGACCATTAAAATAGTAGTGTACAACAATGAGGTCAAGATAAAGTACAAATACTTCAAAGTTCCGACCTCCACATAAGTGCTCAAGATAAAGTAATACAAAGTTGAATTTACCATCATTTATATTGAAGGCAATTAAACAGTAACTGCAAATTGTTAACAGGTTTGCCTTTTTTAAACCATGATAAACCATGATACACTTTCTGCGCACTGCAAGAAAAAAAAATCAGGAAATACACAAACCTATCTTTCACTTTCTTTTATGTTCTGGTCTGACTCATATCTTTAACCATTCAAATTATTATTTAGAGGGACACTTTATTGTTCACTTGACACGAGTGTGCTGCTGTGTTGCAGCCTGCCACTTTATACCTGATAATGATGCAAGACTCCCAACTCACTTGTGTCATCTCAAGAGATAACTCAGATCAAGTGAGGCCCCCCATCATACCCTGAAAAGTCTTGTCGGTATAATAACTGGGGCGTTTTGTCACGCAAGGCATGTTAGCTGTGACTGGGACACAAAATTTTCACTGAATTAAAAATAGAAAATTTCCAGTCACTAAATCTAATTCATGCCCTCTTGACCTTAAAGGCTTTACTAACAACCATCTAAACCAGCTTTATAAACATAACAGCAGACAAAAGAAAGTTCATGCAAAACAACATTTAGTTATTAATTTAATAGACCTACATTTCATAAGAAGAGAAATGACATATGACATCTCCATGTGTATTTTATAAACAATTAAAAAAAAATCTGACCTGTTGTGATTGGTAGGAAAGTCTATCAATCAATCAATCAATCAATCAATCAATCAATCAATCAAACAAACAGTCATCATTGATATAGTACCAATTGGCAAAATTTGTATCCCAAGACACTTTAGAAAAATAGCATGTACAATCCATCCCCTCCAAGAAACAGGTCACACAGCAAGATAGGAGAGATCCCCCAGCCATTTCTCCCTACAGCAACACATTCATCTCCTCCCTGGGGAATTCCAGAGCATTCCCATGCTAACTGGGACATAAACTGCATTGTGGGTCTACCATGGCGCTTCCTTCCAGTTGAATGTGCCCGAAGGGTATCCTTATCAAATGCAAAAAGCACTCCTGACTCCTTTGACTCCTTCCAATGCAAAGTAGTGGCCCTACGCAGAGCTACCTCCAGGTTCCCAGGCTCCTGACCCTGACTATAAGGCTAAGCCATGCATTCCTACTTATATCTGAAATCCCATCTCTTCAGTCAGTATGCACAGTTAGTTCAACAGATAAATCTAAAGCTTTGCCTTTAGGCCCACATCTGTCTCACTTTTATTTTGTCCTCACTCATCGGCAAAAGCTCAATATACTAACTCTCTTACTATGGGCACTTCCTCCCCCAACCCAGAGAGGAGTTCTGTAAGAGAGAACCAAGGTGTTTGGTCCTTGCTGCTGCTCCAGTACCTGCTGGAGCTCCCAGTCAGAATTGGGGACTTTTGCAAAAGATATGGCAAGTCTCCCCCCTGGATTGTAGCCCTTTCCCCTTACTCAGGAAACGTATCAGTAGAGTTTCTCCAATTTTTACTGCCACCACTATATGAAACCCCCAGCCTGAGTCAGCAATTCTGTACCCCTGCAGAGACCAGCCTGAGCCAAGTCCTGCCTTCTTCCCTGTGACATTTGGCAGTTTGCTAGAGCATCCTTGAGGTGACCAAAAGTCTCCATAGCCTCCCAGAACTTCCAATGCTTTGGCCCTCAATTTACCTGATACTAGTCTGCTGCTTCCCAAAACAACTCCTTCTTCAGCCTGATAGTGCCCTCCACCACTGGTGTCCACCAGCAGGTTCTAAAGCTGCTGCAAAGAAAGGCCCCAGTGGTCCCCTGGCCTCAACTCCTGGTAGCAGCTTAGGGGGCAGAAGCCTCCCCTTTCTCAATACAAGCTGGTAGCACTCTACCTGCCGTAATAGTTCAGGCCTCCTCCCAACCAAAAAGCATACCCCTCATGTGTAACTCCAGAGGGTTTCCCTAGCCCTCCTAATCCAGGTGAGGTACCTCCTTTCCAAATGTTTCATTCCATGGGAGTTGTTTGAATTTCGCTAACTCCTCCGAAGGCTTTCGTTCCACCGGCAACAAATTTGCTCAGGACAATCTACACCCCATGGCCATTAAAAGTTGTACAAATCATGACGCTGCACCCCACGGTTTACATTCTAGGGGGCGCCAAAGATAACCCAAAAATCCACAGTCTTAAAAGTCTTATAACTTTTTATTTTTGTCCTCACTGGCCTCCAAGTTTTCTAGGATGATGCAATGTCCAGTCATCAACACATTTGTGAAGAAATTTTTACTCCCCAAAAGAGCGCCCCCCATGGCAGGAGAAAAAAGTCCATTTTTTCTTGTCCCCTAAGGTGAAAATACACATTGTTGAGTGTCATGCCTGAACGCTTTGTCATATTGACACAAAATTTGACACACACGTGTATCTCAATAAGATCTACGAAAAAGTCAAAGAGCGCGTATCTGTATAATGTACGGTTAAAGGGCTATTTCGCATTTTTTGCCGATCCGCACACATTGGAATTTCGCTAACTCCTCCGAAGGCTTTCGTTCCACCGGCACCAAATTTGCTCAGGCCAATCTACACCCCATGGCCATTAAAAGTTGTACAAATCATGACGCTGCACCCCACGGTTTAGGTTCTAGGGGGCGCCAAAGATAACCCAAAAATCCACATTCTTAAAAGTCTTATAACTTTTTATTTTTGTCCTCACTGGCCTCCAAGTTTTCTAGGATGATGCAATGTCCAGCCATCAACACATTTGTGAAGGAATTTTTACTCCCCAAAAGAGCGCCCCCCCATGGCAGGAGAAAAAAGTCCATTTTTTCTTGTCCCATAAGGTGAAAATACACATTGTTGAGTGTCACGCCTGTACGCTTTGTCAAAATGACACAAAATTTGACAATCACGTGTATCTCAATAAGATCTATGAAAAAGTCATGCGCAAATATCTGTAAAATGTACGGTTAAAGGGCTATTTTGCATTTTTTGCCGATCCGCACACATTGGAATGTGCCTAACTCCTCCTAAGGCTTTCGTCCCAATGACACCAAATTTGCTCAGGTCAATCTACACCCCATGGCCATTAAAAGTTGTACAAATCATGACGCTGCACCCCACGGTTTAGGTTCTAGGGGGCGCCAAAGATAACCCAAAAATCCACATTCTTAAAAGTCTTATAACTTTTTATTTTTGTCCTCACTGGCCTCCAAGTTTTCTAGGATGATGCAATGTCCAGCCATCAACACATTTGTGAAGAAATTTTTACTCCCCAAAAAAGCGCCCCCCCATGGCAGGAGAAAAAAGTCCATTTTTTCTTGTCCCATAAGGTGAAAATACACATTGTTGAGTGTCACGCCTGTACGCTTTGTCAAAATGACACAAAATTTGACAATCACGTGTATCTCAATAAGATCTATGAAAAAGTCATGCGCAAATATCTGTAAAATGTACGGTTAAAGGGCTATTTCGCATTTTTTGCCGATCCGCACACATTGGAATTTCGCTAACTCCTCCGAAGGCTTTCGTTCCACCGGCAACAAATTTGCTCAGGACAATCTACACCCCATGGCCATTAAAAGTTGTACAAATCATGACGCTGCACCCCACGGTTTACATTCTAGGGGGCGCCAAAGATAACCCAAAAATCCACAGTCTTAAAAGTCTTATAACTTTTTATTTTTGTCCTCACTGGCCTCCAAGTTTTCTAGGATGATGCAATGTCCAGTCATCAACACATTTGTGAAGAAATTTTTACTCCCCAAAAGAGCGCCCCCCATGGCAGGAGAAAAAAGTCCATTTTTTCTTGTCCCCTAAGGTGAAAATACACATTGTTGAGTGTCATGCCTGAACGCTTTGTCATATTGACACAAAATTTGACACACGTGTATCTCAATAAGATCTACGAAAAAGTCAAAGAGCGCGTATCTGTATAATGTACGGTTAAAGGGCTATTTCGCATTTTTTGCCGATCCGCACACATTGGAATTTCGCTAACTCCTCCGAAGGCTTTCGTTCCACCGGCACCAAATTTGCTCAGGCCAATCTACACCCCATGGCCATTAAAAGTTGTACAAATCATGACGCTGCACCCCACGGTTTAGGTTCTAGGGGGCGCCAAAGATAACCCAAAAATCCACATTCTTAAAAGTCTTATAACTTTTTATTTTTGTCCTCACTGGCCTCCAAGTTTTCTAGGATGATGCAATGTCCAGCCATCAACACATTTGTGAAGGAATTTTTACTCCCCAAAAGAGCGCCCCCCATGGCAGGAGAAAAAGTCCATTTTTTCTTGTCCCATAAGGTGAAAATACACATTGTTGAGTGTCACGCCTGTACGCTTTGTCAAAATGACACAAAATTTGCCAATCACGTGTATCTCAATAAGATCTATGAAAAAGTCATGCGCAAATATCTGTAAAATGTACGGTTAAAGGGCTATTTTGCATTTTTTGCCGATCCGCACACATTGGAATGTGCCTAACTCCTCCTAAGGCTTTCGTCCCAATGACACCAAATTTGCTCAGGTCAATCTACACCCCATGGCCATTAAAAGTTGTACAAATCATGACGCTGCACCCCACGGTTTAGGTTCTAGGGGGCGCCAAAGATAACCCAAAAATCCACATTCTTAAAAGTCTTATAACTTTTTATTTTTGTCCTCACTGGCCTCCAAGTTATCTAGGATGATGCAATGTCCAGCCATCAACACATTTGTGAAGGAATTTTTACTCCCCAAAAGAGCGCCCCCCCATGGCAGGAGAAAAAAGTCCATTTTTTCTTGTCCCATAAGGTGAAAATACACATTGTTGAGTGTCACGCCTGTACGCTTTGTCAAAATGACACAAAATTTGCCAATCACGTGTATCTCAATAAGATCTATGAAAAAGTCATGCGCAAATATCTGTAAAATGTACGGTTAAAGGGCTATTTTGCATTTTTTGCCGATCCGCACACATTGGAATGTGGCTAACTCCTCCTAAGGCTTTCGTCCCAATGACACCAAATTTGCTCAGGTCAATCTACACCCCATGGCCATTAAAAGTTGTACAAATCATGACGCTGCACCCCACGGTTT